ACTATAAACGTAATAACGTAAATAACTAACGTAAACGTAATTAGTAGTAAGTAAGAGAGGAGTACGTACGTCTACTATAGTCATAGTATACTATGTCGTCTCTCTCTCTCTCTCTCTCTCTCTCTCTCTCTTATATATATATATATATATATATATATGTGGGTTATGTTAGGGTGCTCACATTATAGAGTAATTTATCATTATACTCAACAATTTTGGACACTTATATAGTCTTGTTTTGTACATGGAGAATTTTTTTCATAAGGGTATTTTTGGTCATTAGGAGTGTGACATCATCCACATGGGATATGATATCATCCACTGGAGCATTAAATGCCATTAGTGTGTCTATGTGGGTGACATCACACCCCTTTGTGGATGATGTCACACCTCTCGAAATGACAAAAAAATATGCTTACTAAAAAATGCTCCATGTATAAAACACGGGTATATAGGTGTCCAAAATTGTTGAGTACAATGATAAATTGTTGTTATTGTGTATTTTGTTATATATTTATATATATGGAAGATACTACAAAACGTCTATAGGCAAAAATGAACAATGATTTCGCCTACCCTCATCACCATCCAAAGTTCATCGTACGGTCACGATTGTCCTGTAGTGTTTCATTTTTAATTTTTTTTTTACAATTCGAAATGACCTAAAATTTAGAGTGTGTGTTCATAAAAAATAGGTGAATCTATGAAAAATATCAAAAAACTATTTTACATGAAAAGAATTGATCAAAATACCCCCAAAAAATTTTGGGGATATTTTGGTTAATATTTATTTTGCGAATTATTATTTTTATATTTTTATTAGGTGTGCCTCACTAAGATGTACATACGCTTCAAATTTCAAGTCATTTCGATTTGTAGAAAAAAAATGAAAAATGAAACGCTATCGGACATTCGTGATCATGTGATGAACTTTGGATGGCGATGAGGATAGACGTGTTCATTTTTACCTATGGGCGTTGGGAAGACTTTTATATATATAGATATATATATATATATATATATATTCATAAATTGTTGTTATTGTGTGTTTTGTGTTGCAGTGGGAAAGGATTTGATTGGAGAAGATTTAGTTTACCTCATATTAGCACCAAAAATGGATGGCTTTTAGCAGGTGGGTTGAACCCTGAGAATGTAAGCGAGGCTGTTTCTGTTCTAAGACCAGATGGAGTTGATGTGAGCAGCGGTATTTGTGGCTTCGATGGGATCGAGAAGGACCCTAGTCAGATATTCTCATTCATGAGTAACATCAGGTCAATGAGGAAGCAACCATGACCTCTTGTTTTGTGCAGAGAGAGAGAGATAGGAGCTCCCAAAATTGCCATTTTCTTTTTGGTGATTTGGTTCAGTTTTCCAAGTTTAAGTGCAGAAATGGAAGAGGTAATTTTTTAGAACCTCTGAATTATTGTATGGAAAACGTTTAATATCTAGAAAATTTTTAAATTTATATGAATAAATATTGTTTAATCTTTTAAACCTTGTGAGTTGATAAAATACCGCAAAGGGTTCACTGCTGTAGCATGGTGGATGACATCCATGGTTATGAATTCAAGGCTTCGACCTTTGAAGTTCATCCCCAAATAAACAGACCCCACAAGAAAGCAAACGAGGTCGACTTACAGTTTTGTTATAATGGTAATCATACTTCATGTCTAATTTACCTGAAGGCAATAACCAAATGCTCAAGAAAACACCTCGAGTTCAAAATCTTCTAGAACAAGTGAACTTGTTGCTGTTAATGGGTTCAAAAAAAAACTTGTTGCTATCAGAAGCATACTCACTCTGCCTGCCTTCCCACCAGTGAATTATTTGGAAGACTTCTCTCATTTCATTTTGTATTAACAATAAACAGATTTACCATGTGAATAACATAATTTATGCCCCAACCGGCGGAAGGCGAAAAGCAAAAATATTTACAGCAGAGAAGTGAAAAAAAAATGTTCTGGTTAGATCAAAAGCCTCTTATTATAGGGGTGGTAATAGGTCGGGTCCGGACTTGACTAGACACAAATAGTGTTTGGGTCCAATATGTGGACCCGGACCGACCTGCCGGGTCCAAGTTTTGGTTCGTCGGGTCCCAGGTCGGGTCTGGGTTACGGCTCTTAATCACAAAGGTTTTGTTGGTAGTTCCCTCCTTTTTTAACGAATCAGCAGCCCCAAATTTGCCTCATGCCATCATGTTTTCACGAACCCCGTATATTTTTATAAAAAACAAAGATTTGTTTGGACTCTCTCTCTCTCATCTTGCATGTGTGTTAGATGGGCATATTGCGCATTTTTGTGTTGTAAACCATTGGAACCGGTGTTTTAAAATCTAAAATCGGGTTATGGATCAGCCCACTAGTGAACAGATCAGGATAGGCCGATTCAGTGAAAATAATAATAATAATAAAACTTAATGGAAATCAGGCAATTCTAGGGGCCATATACCTGGATAGCCCAACCACTGGACCACATCAAGTTTTGGCAATTCCAATTCAGATTGCTAGTTTGCCACTTCATTTGTATCCTATCTTCATTTCTAATGAAATGTTCGCTGGCCAGCCTCAGTGTTTGCCTACAAATAAAATGGGGCAAAAATCTTGTTCAGTTTGTGCACCGAATGAGGGATATGGATAGTTGCATTTCATCTTAATAGGGTTGTGTTAAAATACTTACATTATGGCGTAATTTATTATTGTACTCAATAATTTTTTGACATTTATATGAAGCTTTCTTTTAGCAATGACATTTTTGGTAATTAGGATGGATGTGACATTATCTACATAGGGTGTGACATCACCTGCCATTAGTGTACTCCATGTAAGTGATGTCACACCCCATATTAACGACATCACACCCCTCCTAATAGCAAAAAATACCTTTAAAAAAATACCCCATGTACAAAACAAGAGTATAAAAGTGTTCAACATAGTTAAGTACGATAATAAATTGCTCCATAGTGTAAGCATCCTAACATAACCTTTCATTATATTATGATGAACTATAATTGTAAATTAGTAACTATTTAAAGGGTGTGGTTTGTATAAGGTTACAACTTTAAACAATCGAAATAAGGTGCACCTCCAAACTTTGTCATGCGATAGAATTTTAGCGATAGAATTTTAGAGTAAAAAATTCTTAGGATGGTGCAAGAATCTATTATTATCTAATTATAAATTTTTAAACTAAAAAAACGGTTCAAATCAAGCAAATTTATAAACACATACAATCTTGAAAATAAACTGTTCAGATAATGTGTTGCAAGATGTATTATTTTTCAGTCTTAAAATATTTTTTTCTCTATATATTTATACATCTCAATGTCAAGGTAATCAATTAGATTGTTTTCCAATATGGAAACAACCTTTTTCCAAGGATTTTAGAGTTGCACCTTAATTCTACATTTTAAAGTTGTCAACCTTATCATTCGTCAAAAATTATATGAACTTTTTCCTTATTTAAAATTACGATTTACAGGAAGACTAGACATGGTTTTGGGGTGGTTCAAATAATGGGTAATTACTTGAAGAGAATTGCTCTGGTGGTGGTTCTTAGATGCTCATATGCAGATACAACTGATGTTCCTTACAAAGTGATGGATGCTATGTTAAGTTAAAACAACTCCATTAACATGTTTAGGTTTTCCAAATTAAAATTGCAGTAAAATGGCAAAAACAACTTTTATGATTATTGGAAAAAGAGAAGTAAATGATGAAATATTGGAAGAAATCTGTTACTTTCCTATTTTTAATTTTATTTTGTTTTTTTTCTACTTTTTCCCTTATGTTTTTGATGGAACCCACTGATACAAACTAGAAATGAAGTCAAGAACATGAGCGAATTAACAAGCACTAATTGCCAGGGTAGAAAAAGATCTCAATCTATTTTAATTCAAAACTGAATCCTAAGCTGACAACTCTCAAAACAAAAGAACTCACAATCTATATTAATTAAAATGTGATTCTATAAGAATCCACAGAAATACTCAAGAAGTCATTAAATATCGAATTACAGGTTGGCTGAGCTTATAAGCAGATCCCTCCCAGCTTGCTCAAGATCTCTTGAGCTCAAAATGTATGCTGCCAATCTCTGTGTACCACTGTTACTATCCATATATTTCTGAGCTCAAGAATAAGTTTGACTCCTGCTGTAGAGCTACCCGAAAATATTTTATAACTGTTTTTTTGCAGGGTTTACCAAATGGAAAATTGTAAAAACAATAAAAAATCCAAAAAGTTGTTTTAAAATAATAAATATAAGCAAAAAAAAAAAAAAAGAAGTAATAGAAAGCATTAAAGATTATAGAAGATGAAAAAATATATGAAAGAAAATCTTAATTTATACCATGAATATTTAAAAAAAAAATCATAAAAGGAAAAAAAAAAAAAGATCATTTGAAAGGAGTTCCTAAATCATCTTGAAAACCATCTAAATCATCTAAAAGGGCGAGGTTGAGTAACTTGGCCGAGTCTTAAGACATTGAATTTTATTAATGTTCAAGGGTGGACTGAATCTATGAAAAGAAAGAAAACAAAGCAAATTGGTCTTCTTATTTTTTGTTGGACTTCTTTTTTTTTTTTTTTTCCATTTAGAAAGTTGAAAGTTGCAATTATCTAGGTGAAGAAAAAAAAGAACGCCCTCTTTACATATTGTTTCACAGTTCATGCCTTGTATAAAATGTAGGAAAGGCCACTTTGTTTGTTTTGAGAACGTATCTAAACTGCATTAGATGATTGTGATTAAAGAGTTTAATTACGAAGCATAGGTAAGTTGCAGTAAGTTGGCCGACCTCAAATAGTTGAAAAATACGATGATGATGATGAAGTAAATTTCAATAGGTAATTTTAATTGTAGATCTTTTCTCCCTCTCATCACAAATATACAATGTAGAGATGATTTTTTAATTGAAAATCTCTCTCTCTCTCATGAGGATGATTTTTTAATTGAGACTCTCTCTCTTTCTCTCTTCAATGTCACGTTGATTTGAATTGAAGATTCCCCATGTCTCCCAGCATACATAAATTGATGCGGTGATACAAATATTTTATTCAGTTTGGAACCATTGTTTAAAACCCAGCATCGGCGGATCAGCCGTTTGGTAAACCAAGGGCCAATGATGCACATTAATAAAATAATAATAAATTAATAAAATAAAAATTGGTAGAAATTAATCATTTTTAAGAGCCAATTATGCACATTTCATGTCTAGTGAATTCGATCTGAATTGGGGGATTCCAATGTAACATTATTTAAAGGGAAAAGTTTATATAGAGCTGAGGCTTTAAACAATCAAATTAAAACCTACCTCAAAAATTTCACTAGAAAAGATTGGTTTGATGCCCAAATGTCATCAAAATGATCATCTCGACATCAAGATGCATGGACATGAGGAAAAAATAGTTTTCAAGTTTGGAAATAATGTATTTTGTAATGTACTTTTGGATCGTTAATTTTCAAGTTTTTATAGATCTGCCAATCTACACTATCATAAAGTTTAAAACTTTGTTCATAATAAAGTTTTAAAGCATTGTGATAGCTTTAAAATATATTTTCATCTTTATTTATAAAGTTTAAAGCTTCAAAAATAGTGTCGATCTACACATTTTCATAGATCTTCAATATTTTAAGGCTATCACAAAGATTTTCAGTGTTGAAACTACATTTCTCGACACTATTTGAAGGTAGGCTCTAATTTGATTGTTTAGAGCCTAGGCTCTATATAAACGGCACCCTTATTTAAAACCTGATAAAACTTGATTAGAATCTATGTATCCTACCTCCATTGTAATGTAATAATATTGAGCGGTGACTGCCATTGGGCTTTGATGCTGAAAGACTAGATGGTTCCCAATAATGCAATGTGCTTCAACACCTAAAGTGTGGGATATTGACAATATGTTTTCATTATAATGATAAATCATCAATTATCTAAAATTAGGGATAGAACTCGAAATGGAACATTCGGGAGAATTTAAAATGTGGCACCAATAGGCAATAAGATGAAAGAGTAGACTAAGGTGGGTTGACTATGTGCATCGTAAATCCAATAGAACACATGTTAGGTGGTACGAGTTAATTCAAGTTGAAGGTTAAAAAAAAAACAAATGGTAAGCCCAAAAAGACATGGTTGGAAGTAGTTAGAAAAAATATGGAAACTTATAGCCTCATTGAGGGTGGCCTTTAATCGAGCAGAATGATAGACTATGATTTATGTAGCCGACCCTAATTAATTGGAAAAAAGCTCTAATGATGACGATAATGATAATAATAATGATCACTAGATGTGGTTTTGGGTGGTTCATATCCGTGACAATTGGAGAACCGGCTCAAATTAATCAAGCCGACTCAGACCTAGGGGTCTGCCATGGTAGTCTAGGATTGGGCAGTTCACTATGATTGCATGGCTTTGTTTTATGATTTTTCTTTTGTATTTTCATGTTAGGCTGACTCATCCGCATTTGGCCAAGCGACCCTGAGCATTAAGTGCCTGAGTCAGCACCACAGTCCATTCTTTAAAAACCTGTTCTAATAATGCGTTTTACATGAAGATAACTGCCCTAATGGTGGTTCGATGGTGCCCATGCACAAATACAACTAGTGTTCCTTTCCAAAGTCATGGATACCATGTAAAGATGTACAACTCTGGTAATATATTTGGTTGTTCAAATCAAAATGGCAGTAAAATGGAAAAATATATATATATATATATATATATATATATTGTTATGATTATTGCAAGAAAAATACAATAAAAGATACAATATTTGAAGAAATCTTTTACTTTCCTTTTCTCCACTTTTTTCCTTTTGTTTTTTTGTTATTTTGTGTTGATGTAGCTCACATATGCAAGCAATGAATTGAATAAAAAAACAAGAAATGAAATAAGAAAACCAGCAAGTACTCATTGCCAGGGTAGAAGTGATCTTACTTTATTTAATACAAAAAATGAATCCTAACCAGACAACTCTCAAAACTAAAGAATTATTGAAGTGTGATACTACAAGAATCCAAACATCCAACCAAAACAGGGAAATGCCTGAAAAGTCATTTAAATATTGGAATATAGGTTGGATGAGCTTATAAATAGATCCCTCCTAGTTGGCTCAAGAATCTGTTAAGCACTAGATGCAAGCCACCTACCTCCGTCTACCACCATTATTATCTATATTTTTTAGCTCAAGATGTAAGATTGATTCCTGCCATTCAACTAAACCAAATGAACTTTACTACTGTCTTCGGTTAAGCTAAGGTTGATTGACTCCCAAAATTCGAGAGTAGTTAGGACACCTGGTGAATTTAACACAGTGATCGGAGCATAAGCCGTTCATTAGTTTTCGCATTTTTGGGTTCCCGTGTTTCAACATTGAAAGCTGAAAGGTGACTACCTAGTGAGTGGCAAAAAATAGCATGATATGGGAGATGGATGGGGTGTTACATATTGTGTGAAGTAGGAGAGGATGAGGTTGGAATGACCATGGAAAGCAATTAGAAAAGAGCAGACCCGCATTTCGATCATGGATTACTTTGAAGGAAAAAGAGGTTTAACAGAAAATACCCAGAACCACAAGCTTTATAATGAGAGCTGATATAGGGTCCACACCACAAAAGAGAAAAAAGAAAGGAAGGAAAGAATGTTTCTTATCACACTTGGAGATGTCTGCCTCAAATCTCTTGGTGGCATTGTCTGTCTCTCCACATATGTAACCAAAATAGTCTGTGGATAATGCATACTCGATGATAGCAGCGTAAGCTTCGAGGAATAGAAGCATGGAGAGATTACAAAAGTGTTTTGGCAGCTGCAATGACATTGTCCATGGTAATGCCAAACTCCTTGTACAGGGTTCCGGCAGGAGCACTGGCACCAAATCGGTCAATCCCGATACTCTTCCCCTTGCTCCCCACAATCTTTTCCCACCCAAATGTTGACCCTGCCTCCACACTGACTCTCGCTGACACCCCAGCAGGGAGGACACTCTCCTTGTACTCGTCGGACTGCTCATCAAACAGTTCCCATGACACTAAGGACACGACCCTAACTGCCTTCCCTTCCTTCCTGATCACATTTGCTGCCTTTACAGCGATCTCCAGCTCGGAACCAGTGCCGATAAGGATGAGGTCGGGCTTGTTTCTCATTGAGTTGTCGCTGACTATGTACCCTCCCTTCTCAACTCCCTCTATTGTTGTGCCTGCCAGCTGAGGGAGCTTTTGGCGAGAGAGAGCGAGCACTGAGGGTCTCTTCCTGTTGAGGATCGCGACCTTGTAAGCACCGGCAGTCTCGTTGCCGTCGCCCGGGCGGAGCATCAGGATGTTGGGCATGGCCCTGAAGCTTGCAAGATGCTCAATGGGCTGATGGGTGGGGCCATCCTCTCCGAGCCCAATGGAATCGTGGGTCATCACGTAAATGACACCGGCTTCACACAGAGCAGATATCCTCATGGCAGCCCTCATGTAATCTGTGAAAACAAAGAAGGTAGCACAGTAAGGGATGAGGCCACTGCCGTGAAGGGCGATCCCATTGCAAATGGAACCCATGGCATGCTCCCTCACACCGAACCGCACATTCCGCTGCTCAGGGGTGTCTTTTTGGAAGTCCCCAAACATCTTCAACAATGTCATGTTTGAAGAGGCAAGATCCGCACTGCCACCAAGGAGTCCTGGGAGAACCTTTGCGAGCGCATTGAGGCATTGTTGGGATAGGTTTCTGGTGGCATCAGCAGGGCTCTCAGGGGTGTACGCCTAACAACAGACCAAACGAGACAGCCATTACCATTTAGGGCAACAATAATAATCAGGACCATCCACCAGTGAGTACAAGAAGAAGAAGAGAAATGGTTGCTCATTAGATTATGGATGGCATTTTTATTTTCCCACTCACCGGAAGAGCCTTCTCCCACCCATCAGGCCATTTACCAGAGATGAGTTCCTTGAATTCTGCAGCTTCCTCCTTGTACTTCTTTTCATAATCGGCCAATTTGGCTTGCCATTCTGCTTCCAGGGAAGCACCTTCGGGAACATGCCGGCTCCAATGACTGCAGTGATGTCCAATGAGCATAAGGAGATCATCGTGAATCTGAAAAAGAAATAGAATGCAATTTGTAGAGAAGGAAACATGGAAGCATGGTACCTACCTCTTGACATCATCCGGGACATGGAAGGGCTCATATGGCCATCCAAGGTTCTGTCGGGTGGCATCCACCTCCTTGGCTCCCAAGGCGCTTCCATGAACACTGTATGAATTGGCCTTGTTCGGGGACCCATAGCCGATGGTGGTGGTCACCTGCATAATTAACAAGGGAGACAAAGAACGTTAAAGTAGTTGCAATATGAAATCACAAAGTAGTGGATCGAATTGCATTGGTGAGGAGAGACCTTGATGAGAGTGGGCTTGTCTTTGACAGCCTTAGCCTCTTCAATGGCAGCACGGATCTCATCGTAGCCAGTGTTACCATTCTTAACCCAGATAACGTGCCAACCAAGGCCCTCAAAACGGGTATCAACACTCTCAGTGAAGGCAATTTCAGTATCACCATCAATTGAGATGTGGTTATCATCATAAAAAGCAATGAGCTTACCGAGACCCCAGTGCCCAGCTAGGGAGCAAGCCTCATTAGAGATACCCTCCATTTGACATCCATCCCCGAGAATGCAGTACCTAATTGTACAAATTAGGCATACCAATAAACGATTCTGTTCCATTGTAAATATCAATATGATGCAGTCAACAATTCTCAAAAAAAAAAAAAAATCTGTTATTTGCAAAGGGAAAGATCACTAAAAGTCTAAAACTTGAAGAGGAAGAAGCTTATGCATATGTCAAGTAGATGAAACATACGTGTAGTGATCGACAACCTCAAAACCAGGCTTGTTGTATCTGGCAGCTAAGTGTTTCTCAGCAAGAGCCAAACCGACAGCATTTGCAATTCCTTGGCCCAAAGGACCTATGCAAGTGTGACACAAACAGCCCAGTCACAAACAGCCCTAAAGGTTCCGATTGTGTGTGTGTGTGAGAGAGGGAGAGAGGGAGAGAGAGAGTCACTAACCAGTTGTGACTTCAATACCACGGGTCTCAAAGTTCTCAGGATGCCCAGGGGTTTTGCTACCCCACTGCCTAAAAGATTTCAAATCTTCTTCCTGCAAACCCATAAATATTCAGTTCTAACTAGGGAATCCGACTGAATTGAAACGAAAAAAACAAAACAAAAACCTTAAATGATGGGATGAAACAGACCAAACAGTTTAACCATGCTTGCAAAAACAGAGCAACAACATACATCACTTATACTGCATCATACAGCAGTATTTGCTCTCCTTCCTTCATATCAGACCAGATTTGGCTAAAACATTCAGGTTGATCCAGCAACATGTACTTAAAGAAACATTCAAACCGAGCAGGAATTCTATGCAGTATCATATCAAAGCATTTCTCCAAAAAAAGGAGGATCAAATCAATTAAGGAACTATCCAAAATTTTAGTTTGTGTTATGTGCTTTCAGAAAATTCAAATAGAAAGACTGTTATCAACAAAATCATAGTCTGTATGCCAGCTAAAATTATCCTGATTCCAGTTTTTTTTCTTTTTTCAAGATTGATCAGTCATAGTCTGTATGCTAGCTAAAATTATCCTGATTCCAGTTTTTTTTTTTTTTCGAGATTGATCAGTCAATTAGTTGAGATAGATCAGTGATTAAGAAGAAGATAATGGATAGATGAGGAGGAGGTAGCAGTACCTTGACGCTGTCATAGCCAGCAAGGTGGAGGAGAGCATACTGGAGCATGCATCCATGGCCTGCCGAGAGCACGAACCGGTCACGGTTGAACCAGTAGGGGTTCTTCGGGTTGTAGCGCATCACCTCGTCGTAGAGGATGTGGCCCATGGGGGCACACCCCATGGGGAGACCAGGGTGCCCGGAGTTCGCCTTCTCCACCGCATCTATCGCGAGGAATCTGATGGTGTTGATCGACTTCTCTATCAATGCGATCGTGCTCGTCACGTCCAGCGTCTCAACCGCAGCCGCTCTCACCACCACCCGCGAGGACCATGGCCTCCTCCCCCGGCTATTAGAGATGGTGGTCTGCAATACTGCTTTCATCCTCCTCGAGAAGGCGCAATTGTTGTTATTGAGAATGGACCATCTCCGCTCTGCTGCTGCTGCCTGTTGCTGGTGTTGGGCTGCCGGGGCTCCGGCTACCAGCGCCTGTGACAGCCCCCATCGTCGACGACGCCATATTTTTCCTCTCTCTCTCTCTACTAAACACACACACTCTCTCTACTACTCTCTCTCTCTACTACTACTACTACTACTACTACTACTACTACTACTACTACTCT